CACCCCAGGGCCAAGAGGTTTTTCCCACGGCACTCCATGGATAAAAGGGGGTGACACCCTCTCCACCCGTGGGTGCCACCACTGGCCGTGCCAGCTCTGGCTGAGCCTTTGGGTGACAGTGTGTCCCCACCACCCCAAGGTGGGATGTGGTGGGAAGGTTTGTCCTTCTCCATGCACTGATTTTGGGACAGCAGGGCCGAAATCCCCCGAGTTCCCCCCCCCGCCCAGAATCTGCTCCAGGGGGTTGCAGCACCCCCAGGGCCACCAGGATCCCTGTGGATCCCCCCTTTTTGCTCCACCATCTGCCCCCACAATCTGGGAGCGGGTCAGCACCCCCGCCCATCTGCCCAGCAGGAAAGTCAAAAGCAGTGTCATTGCCAAATCCAGAGGCGCCCGCGGAATTGATGGCGCCGGATTTCCACCCTTATTTGTCAACAAGGCTCCTTGGCCTCCCCCCGCCCCTCCCGAGCCCCCTTAATCTCCCACACAATTGGAATTCGCTGTGCAAACAGCTCTGAGGGGGGGACGGAGTGGGGTTTGCATGAGAAATGTGTCATTTGGGCAAAGCGGGGAGCGAATCCCGGCATCCCTAACGCGGGATTGAAGCGATTCCGGAGCTCCGGATAACTCTAATCCTCGACCTGGATGGAGGGGGGGGGGGGGGAGGTTTAACTCCTGCCCCCTCATTCCCACCTTATTATCTATTGATTGACTTTTAGAAAGGGGTAATAACATAAAGAGATTGACGCTCTGAACGCCGCCGGGGGATCACACGGAGCGCGTTTTCCGTGTGGGATGCGCTGGGATTTTTGCCCCCCTGGGGGGGGGTGAAGAGGTGAGAGGGGGGGGCCAAGGAGATGGGAAAAGGGAGGGAGGAGCCTCCATCCCTCCCCCCCTCCCTTCCCCTCCACCAAACAATCAGAATAAAAGCAAATTATTCTTCCCATTTCCCTTCCCGAGATGAAGGATAAACTGTCCAGCCCTGAAAAACCGACTGATAACACCTTTAATTTTACTGCAAGGCCTGGAAAAAAAAAAAAAAAAAAAAAAAAAGCCATTTCTACGCAAAGCAGGGCCCCTCTCTCTCTCTCTCCTCCCCACCCTTCTCTTGATAAACGGCGGGGGATTTTTTTTTTTTTTCCTTCCCGTGTTTTTATTTTCTTTCTCCCCATTTCCCTTTCAGTTCGGTTCAGGGAAATGCCCCCGGAGCTACAAACAACGCACGAGAAAGCAAAATCATATTTTAGTCAAAATAGGCAGCCGGCGCTCGCAGCCAACTTTCGAATTAGCATTTTGAGGGCAAATATGCAGCAATTTGAGATAATGAGGCCTGATTATTCAATCCAATGAATGTTAAATAGGCACAGAGGGCGCCCCGGCCTTATCTCCCCCGCTTTCCATTTATTTTACTTTAGTTTAGTTTTAATCGTTTCCCATTTGAACTCTTCTACTTGTCTTGGCTCCAGCCCCCGCCTCTCTCCCTCCCCTTCTCTGCCCCTCCCTCCATTCCCGGGCATCCCTGCGCTGCCAGCCGGGATTTTGCAGCGGGAAGTCGCCGGTGGGGACCCGCCATCCCCTTGTAAAAGATGTTTTCAGGGAGCGTGTTTGTGGCTTGTCCTCCGACAGAAAAATGGGGTTTGGGGAGGTTTGGGTGTTGCTGCGAGAGCTGTGCCCGTGTTTGGGGGGCGTTTGGGTGGCGCTGGGAATATTTGCTGGAGTGGGAAGTGACACAGAATCCCGGAGTGGTTTGGGTTGGAAGGGGCACGAGGATCATTTTGTTCATGTGGGCACCTTCCACTGGCCCAGCTTGTTCCAACCTGGCCTTGGACACTTCCAGGGATCCAGGGGCAGCCACAGCTTCTCTGCCCAACCTGGGCCAGGGCCTGCCCACCCTGACAGCCAGGAATTCCCTCCCAATATCCCATCTGTCCCTGCCCTCTGGCAGTGGGAAGCCATTCCCTGTGTGCTGTCCCTCCATGCCTTGTCCCCAGTCCCTCTCCAGCTCTCCTGGAGCCCCTTTAGGCCCTGCCAGGGGCTCTCAGCTCTCCCTGGAGCCTTCTCTTCTCCAGGGGAACCCCCCCAGCTCTCCCAGCCTGGCTCCAGAGCAGAGGGG